TCCAAGAAGGTAACCAGCTAATTGTCTTTTTCTGCTTGAATTCAAATAACTCACCATCCACTTCAGTCCAGCACATCCACAGTTCCATTCCATTTGTTTGTTTCATATGGATGCCTCTAGGGTCACCAGTAGTCACTATTGGTCTGCAGGTTCAAGCTACCCCTCCCACACAGCAAGTCAGAGCTCAGGGGGAAAAAAAAAAACACTTTCCAACCCCTTCTTCTGCATTGAGGTCTCTCTCTCTTTGCTCTTCCTATGGACTTCAATCTTCAATTCTCATTTTAAATCCTTGTTTGGTCTCAGGGATTCACTTCTCCCCCTTTTTCCTCACATTCCTGCATTCCAGGGTCTGGACACCAAATCTTGAAGAGACTGCTTCTCTGCTGTTTACCACTCTACCATCTTCCTAGAAGTCCTCTTTCTTCTTGCCCTGTGAACAGTTTGGCTGTTTTTAATGCTAATCTTTTGAGTAACCAACCTCTTTTCAAACCCAATTTTGCAGGCATTTCTTTTCTGGCCACCAGCAAACCTTTTTAAATCATTTAGCTCTGATTTTTCATCCTAATTTTCATTTTAAATCTGGCTGAAAGCAGGAAGCAGTACAATGCCACAACCTGAATATTTGACTGCTTTTAAATTTTCTCTGCCACGCCGATTAATCCATCACTCTTAATCTCAGTATCCTGCAGAGTCTCAGGACTTGGACAAAATGAAGACAAATATTCTTCCAGTGTGTAACACACATGATCTCTAGTCCAACTGCCAATAAAGTCATTTTTATCAACTGAAACCTCCTAAGCCTAGCCTTCCCTGTCTAAATTCCCACCACTCTGGTCTTCTGAACTCCAACAAATATCATCCACCAAACATTGTTCACAACATTCCAGGACTTCTCTAGCTTGACTCTCCAAGTCTTTCAAAGTCCTCCTACAAACAGTTCCAAAAGCTTCTGAATCCCATGGTCAAAAAAAAAAAAAAAAAAAAAAAAGGATATAAATAAAGGACTGTTTTGTAGTGAAAAAGATATGTATATACAAGATAGGATAGATATACAGCTACTTTCTCTTAGTTCAATGAGAAGAAAGGTTTGTACTAATAGTGTTTAGACAAGATATCATGTCTACATCTTGTTCTCTGAATAATTACTTCAAAGACAACAATATGCAATGTATTAATTATTGTAACTGTCCTACTAACCTGTTTTGAAATTGTTTCATTGCTATGTTATCTTTTTTCTCATTAAAATGAATAAAAAATTTTTAAAAGCCCAACAAATCCCATGGTCAGCTATAATTATAGCAATAACCTACTCCTGATGCCAGTTTCTTGTACTGGTTAGCCTTTCTGTCAGTGGGATAAAATAGCTGATACTCATCATCTAAAGGAAGTTTGTTTTGATACAGCAATATAGCTCAGTGGCATAAGTACCTGCCTGGCAACAACAAGATCCTAAGTTCAATCCCCAGTACTAGAAAGAAAGAAAGAAAGAAAGAAAGAAAGAAAGAAAGAAAGAAAGAAAGAAAAAGGAAGTTGGTTTTGGTGCTTGGTCTTCAGGGGATTTAGTCCATTTTTGGCTGGCTCCAATGAAGAAACAGTATGGTGTAGGAATGCTGCTCTACCTATGGTAGTAAGGATGCAGAGAATGAGAAGAAATAGAGGGACTGGAGATCAAAATATACCATTCTAGGCCATCCCCCAATGATGCACCCCTCCAACTAGGCCTACCTCTTATGAGCATATCTAACTACTGAATTCATCAATGGTGGAATCTACTGATGAGTAGCCAACAATATCCCCATCATTTAGTCACCTTCCAAACACATGAGACTTTGGGGGGAAATTTTAAATCTATATCTGGTAATCTGAGTAACTACATTGAACACAACAGTGTGCAATATAACAACCATTGTTGAATATCTATCAGCTTGTGTGGTTGTTTTTTGGTTTTTGTTTTTGTTTTGAAATTTGTATCATTTCTAATGTCTTACCTATTACTTTTTATTCTCTTAAAAATAAAATGAAAATAAATGTAAAAAAGAAAATAAATAGGCTGGGGAGATAGCTCAGTGGAATAAGCACTTGCCTGGCAAGTACAAGGGCCTGAGTTCAATCCCAGGTTCTGGAAAAAGAAAATAAATAAATGAATAATCTAAAC